TTTGAAAAAATTGCCTTTGAAACAATAAATTTACCAGGTTTTATGTTTTTATTTATTAGGGTAAGAAGGAGAGAAAAGCCATCCTCATCTTCCTGATATACTTAACATTGAATGTCGAGCTTAGACATATATTGAATTGCACAAATAAATTTTTTTTAAGGATTAGACTACTTAAATTAATATAAGATTATAAGTGTTAATTGTAATTTAATAAAAATTCATTTTGATAAAATATGAGAGAATAAGCAAATTTATTTTAATCATTTCCCCTCCTATTTCTAGAAGGTTTCAACCTCAGAACGCGTCACTCAACGAGTTCTAATTACATCCAGAAGTTTTATACTTATTAATTACGTAATTGAGGTTCTAAAATAAAATCTTATTATGGAGAAGGTTAGAAAGTGTGGAAAATTTTTTGGATGCTTTTTATTGTAGAATATATTTCACAGTATTCATTATTGAGTTACCAACAACTTTTTCTAAAACCAAGTACATAATATTATGTATACAAAGTTAAAGAGCTAAAGTAGAAGTGACAAATGATTTTGTTCAATATTTAAATTAAGGAAAATATTTTTCAAGTAAGTTACATAGGGATTTCAAAAAAATATAACCAAAGTAGATCTAAAATAGAATATTTATATATAATTTGTAACTAAGAAAGATAGAAATTACATTTATATAATTTAATATAACTTAAATTGAAATTCAAAGGCCTAATTAGGATGTAATTTCAAAAAATTGATAAATTATAAAATATATACTTTCATTGGGTTTTTCACGCTGGCACCTATGCTTCTTTTTCTGTTTATCGAACAAGGCTTTGAAATAATGATTGTACATAGAATATAAATAAATATATAGAAGAAAAAAATACTTAATATATATTTGTTGGTATCTGAACGATATTTTATAGGTGGGTATTAACAAGCACGGTATATATTCTCTGAATCTATATTTAACGTTAAAAGATTATCATAAGTTTCAGAACACCACTTTGAAAAAGAAACTGGCAGAACTGTTTTGTGAAAATAATAGAGAAACCTAAAATATTTCAGATTCAAATGTTTGGTTATAATATAATTCAAAAAAATAAATAAATTCTAAAATACTCTGGGCTTTTCTCTATTTTTGTTTGTAAATTGTTTTCCCTTGCTCGTCCAATGCTTTTAAAATATTTATTGTAAAATACTTAATATATATTTGATGGTAAAATATTTTGAGCAACCCACACCACCCCCCAGCCCTGTCCAACAGCTTTCCCTTCCCTCATAAAAAAATAAAAATGATATGTAATAATCATAATTATAAATTCACAATTATTGAATATATATAGCTTACATGATTTATTAATTATCCACCTTGCTCAAAATATTTTACCAGCAAATGTATATTATAAATATTTTTTTGCTCCTGTACAAAGCCTTGGACGAGGACAAAGAGAAGCTTATACAAAAGGGAAAAGTCCAGTTAAAGTATATATTTTCGAATTTATTTATTTAAATTATATTTAAATCAGAATTTTGAATCTAAAACACTATTTCCGGCTATTTTAAAAATGGTAGTGCTTCCGTTTCTTTTTAAAAGTTGTTCTTTAAACATATAATTTATAATTATTTTCATATTATTTCTTCCAAGATCTCTCTTCAAACATCCATCTTCTCCTAAATACCATCCAAGAAACATTTCAAATAAATTATTATCTCTTTTAAAATCCTTTATTATTATCTTTTTCTCTGTTTTTTTAAAAAAAAATTAATATGAGCGATATTTTATAGGTCGGGAGGGTGGGGTAGATGTTTTATTTGCTTTGTATGCTCCTATCCCTTATAGAATAAAGGCATATTAAACTTAGTTAAAATTAAATGAGTAAAAATAAATTATTACGAATATATAAATTTTTACTAGGAAATTTGGTTTTCAAATTTATACCGTTACACGACTCCTCATCTTTCATCTTTTCATACTGTTCATCTTTATTGTCCTCGGATTCCTGATATTGATTATCCTTGTATTCCTCATATAGGTTATTCTCATAGTCCTCCTCCTGCTCCTCATACCCTTCCTCCTGTTTCTCCTCCAATTCGCTATCATCATCTCCACTCTCCTCATCTCCACTCTCCTCATCTCTACTCTCCTCAGCTCCACTCTCCACATCTCCACTCTCCACATCTCCACTCTCCACATCTCCACTCTCCACATCTCCACTCTCCACATCTCCACTCTCCACATCTCCACTCTCCACATCTCCACTCTCCTCATCTCCTTCGCCTTCAACGATCAAGGCTTTAAAAATATTATTTTTGATATAAATTAATAAATGAAAAAGTGTAAATAATTGAAAAATATTAGAATAATTTGATCTATATTTTATCAGTGGATATTTAAATACCCACTACATATTCACATAAGGGTAAATCAGATCGCCTATCTATAATTATGGTTTATAGATTTTTACAAATCTTAATTTTTCCTTTACAATATTATATTTTACAATAAGAGAGGGGCCTGATAAGGGGGGGGGGAGGGGGGGGGTATAGATTCAATTATTTTTATTACTTAGTAAATTACCAATGCGATGTATAGAAGAGGATTGTAGTTTCACTATCTCGTTTACATTTATATGAATATATTTAGTGTACACTACACTTAATCCCATTTATAGCGCTTAAAACATTAGCAACAGATATTAAGTAGTATGTAAATTCATATTCCATGTCAATGATCATTTCAAAGCCTTGATTTATACAGATGTGAACGAAGAGAAGCTTAGAAATAAAAACGGAAAAAAAAAGATAGCGCAGTAAAAGTACATATATTTTCGTTACCATTTATTAATTTTTTTGAATGTATAATAACCAGAATTTCAAGATGGTATTCTTATAAAATATCCAAACTGTCCAAATTTAAAGAGGAAAGAAAATTGATAACAACCATTGTACGGAAAAATACTTAATAGTTATTTGTTGGAAAAATATTTTGGGGTTCTAAACAGGTAGAGGTAAATACATACTTGATATTGATATAAATGGAAATCAAAGCATCCATATAAAATCTTCAACTGCGTACCACTCAATTACATATTCCAAATAAATTTATTTCTATTTCTTTTTTAGGAAATTTTCAAATTATTTTTTCTTATAATCAATGATTGTTATCAATTTCTTTTCCTTTTTTTTAAAAAGAAATTCAGACTTAGTTTGGATATTTATAAAAATATCCATCTTAAAACTCTGAAATATATTCAATAAATTATAACGAATATATTATACTCTTACTACCTCTTTTGCCCTTCTCATTTCCAACACTCCTCTTATTCCTGATCAGCATAAACCAATGCATTAAAATGCATTATTATATACCTTAGAGTATGGATTAAAATATTGGAAATATACTTTGATAAATATTTGTTTTTGTAATATTTTAATCAATGTTTTATAATTGGATAAATAATGCGAAGACACTCGTTATAGATTCATGTAAAGCTGAATCAAATCGACCATCTAAAAATTAAATAAATTAATAAATGTCGGTGGGTAAAATTTTATTTTGTTTTATAATAAACTGTATTCTTTGTTAGGAACAAATATGTATATTTTATACTTAGTAAATTAAAATAAGTAAAAATTTAAAAATGGCTTTTTATTTCTGTTCTGTTGTTTCTGTAATTAGGCGCGGTTCTGAGTTCAGTTCCTTAATATTTTAACACATTAATTCCAGCATCCTAATCTTACATCTTATCTTTAATCATGTTCCGAGAGTTCTAGATTGATTCTAGACCTCTAAATTATAATTAATAAGACCAATGTCTTTGGGGGATATAATCGAGTAAATACGTATTTCGTCGATTTATATTTAATTTAAATTTTTAATTAATTAAACAAATTTTTTTAAATAATAATGATTACCCTTATACTCCTCCCTCATGGGATTACTAGACTCCGGCATCATCTCCTGGACTGTGCCATCATCGTCATCCTCTCCCATGAAACAACCAAAACAGCAACGAAGAAATAGTTTTAGCATAGTTTTTTTTAGCAAAATAGATTTTTAATAATTAATGATTGTTTAAAATTTCTTTCTTTAAAACAATCGTTACGTAATTTTCGTTATCAGTGTATTTATTTTATAAAGTAGAGAGTTTTTTAACAAACAAAAATGTTAACACAACATTTTATATTTTCTATTAAATTGCATCTTCTGATGTTATGGATGCTGAGTAAAATAAACTTCCTCCATAATTATTAAAAAAAGGGTAACCGAAAATATTGAAATAGGTGATGGTTAAAGTTGAGACAGGTTTATAACATTGATTAGTAGAAGACTGCCACAATTTTTTTTTGAATGAACTCGAAATATTTTTTTAAAAAAACCTTAATTATGAAATTATTTTATTGAATAAATATATAAAATTTGCAGGTCAAGAAAGGGGGAAATTATCATCACATTTTTTAAATAAATTATGCTGATAATTTGAAAACAAAATTTAATGAAATGATGTATTTTTTTTGGTTAATTCTCATTCTTAATTAAATTCTATAAAGATAATTATAAACAAATTGAATTATTTTAAATTATTTTTATTTTTTAATTAATTGTAAAATTTAATTATATTTTAACGTATTTATAAATAGTCGCTTGATTTTATGTATCAAGTGTAGAATTAGTGATTTATTTGTCCCAATTAAGTATAAAAGGGACGAGATTTTATAGTTGTAACAACTTTTTGTTATTTTAGTATATATATTTCATTAGCCATCGCCGAGGTGGCCAAGTAGGTTATGATGTATGCTTGGAAACCGAAGGTCCAGGTTCAATCTTGGTAAGGTACCGTAAAAATTTTCTGGTTTTTCTACGATGACTGATGGGTAGAAAAGACATATGGTGAGATGAATTTCGGAGCTTAGTGATGACACCTCGTTCACCGACAGGCTTGGACAGCCGAGTGCTAGGATATTGGCTCAATAAATTAAATGAAAGATATAAACAAAAGTATAAATATGAAAGCTATGGCTTTCCCTTTAAGCGACGCGCAGAGTGTAGACCTTCATCCTATGAAAAGTAAAATAAAGTTCAAAGCAAAGAAGACAAGGTTAGCAAGCTTGAATATCGGTACACTTAAAGGTAAGACGAGAGAATTGGCATCAATGTTGAACAAGAGAAAAGTTGATATAACATGCATACAAGAGACGAAATGGATAAGTCAGAAGATTCTAATGATTGGAGATGGGTATAAATTGTACTATAATGGAATTGTTAGTAATAGGAACGGTGGCGGCATCATTCTCAGTCAAGATCTAAGCTCCTCAGTAGTGGAAGTTAACAGGATCTCTGATAGACTAATGAAAATAAAACTCTGCATTGGTCAATCAATACTACATATTCTTTCAGTATATACTACTCAAACGGGTTGAAAAGAAATATGACTTTAGAGCTATTCTTGATGAAGCTGCAATGGAAATCCTTAAGGATGACCTAGTCATAATAGGTGGAGACTTAAATGCGAATGTCAGAAAAGCAAGGGACAGCTACAAAAGGCGCATAGTGGTTTTGATATGGAGAAAGAAATGATGAAGGAGAGCATTTACCTAAATTTGCCCAAGCCTTCCACCTTGCCTTAACGAAGCCTACTATAAGAAAAAGGACAGTCATTTAATAACATATGAAAGTGGTACAAGGAAAACCCAGATAAATTATGTTAATCTCTCGCAGAAAATTAAAAGATGTAATAGACTGCAAATTCATCCCAGGATAAGATATTGCCGCGCACAAGTTACTAGTCATGGATTTACACCTCACAAATAAATCCACTCAAAAAAAGATAAAACTAGAACCATGCATAAAATAGGGTAGTTTAAAATCAATGACAGATGCCTTTGCAATCAATACAAACATTGAAATAAAATTCCTCATAACTCAGTGAAAAAAATTTGGACAGACCTTTCATCCATATTAATAGACACTGCCAAATAGACACTAGGTTTGACAAGGGGAGGCAACAAATAATACAAAGAACTATGGTGGTAAAATGAAGAGGTGCAAACTACTATATAGAAGAAACAAGCCCTATATAAAATATGGTACGAATCCAAAAATACCAGATGACAAGACAAATTACAAAAAATTCAAGAGAATAGCTACAGGCGTGACTTGGGCCAAAGCTATGCATACAATAACATGTATGAAGAACTACATACCAAAGAAAGGCAAAATAAAATATACAGATTAGTCAAACAGCGAGAAAAGAATTCTAGAAAAACGGAGCTCCGAAATTAATCAAAAATAAAGATGGGAAATCGATAATAAAGGAAAAAGAAATAATGAATAGATGGAAGGAATATTTTCAGGAGCTTTTCAACTTTAATCTTAATATTACATGTAGATGAATCCCCATGTCAAAGAAACTAGGAATAATCACTTGCCTCAATCATATTAAAACCACAAGCTAGGGGTCCTGATGATATTCCAATAGAAAGCCTTAAAGCACTAGGAGATGATAGAATACATTTCCTCACAAATCTGTGCAATAAAATACTGGGAAACGAAGAGATTCCTCAAAAATGAAAGAGAGTTATCTAGTTCTTATCTTCAAAAAATTAAGGGGATTCACACAATTGTCAAATTATAGGGCCATAAAACTAATGTCACACTGTCTTGAACTTTAGGAAAAATTATAGAAAAAAGGTTAAGAGACATAATTGAAATAGGAGAGACTCAGTTTGGCTTTATACCTGGAAGATCAACAACTGATGCAATCCACGCTATTAGACAAATGAGTGAAAAATACAGGGAAAAACAAAAAGCTACACATGGTCTTTCTCGCTAGAAAAGGTCTTTGATAGATTCCAAGAAAACTTATCTGGTGGGCCTACGCCACAAAAAGGTTCCCGAGAAATATATAAGAATAATACAGGATATGTATATGGGTCATATAACAATGGTCCGTAGCACAACTGGTACTTCAGAAGGCTTCACACTAGCCGAGGGAGTTCATCAAGGGTCGGCTCTCAGCCCACTTCTCTTCATAAAAGTAGTAGATGTATTATCACAGTCTATACCACAAACAGTCCCGTGGAATATGATATTTGCAGATGATATTGTGATACTTGCCGTTTAAGAATGAAATGGAAAAGAAAGAATAGTGAATTGGATAAATATCCTAGAAAATGAACTATGAGTATATAGAGAAAAGATGGAGTATATGGTAATAGGAGGAGATGAAACAGAGTTGATATAAATGAATGGCAGAAATCGGCAGTAAGCTGCAAATATCTGGGCTCCACCATACAAACAAACGGCACAATAGAGAAAGAGATAAAGAGTAAAATTAATCAAGGGTGGTTAAAGTGGAGATCTTTATCTGCAGTGCTCATTGACAAAATAATCCCACACAAATTGAAAGGAAACATTTACAGTTCCATAATACAACCAACCACCAGAAAAGGTGAAAGCTAAAAAGGTAAAAAAAAAATTTTTTTTTTTTGGCCAATAAAATTAGCAGTTGAAAATTTATTACTTTTGGTTTTAGAGTTGTGTTGGTAAATTGTGTTAATTATAAAATAGCGTTGTTTACTGGTAGAATTTTATAGTATATAATTTTTACAATAAAAAAAATATTTAAATTAATATAATGTGGTTTTCTACAAGGTAACATTTATATGATTAACTTCAACGTCTACATTAATGTTTCAAGAGGACTTGATTTAACGTCCCGATCAAGATATTAATCAAAATAATATTTTGTAAGCTGGAGATTTCTACTAACAGATGGCAGATCTCTATTAATAGGTAAAATATATTGCTATAAAAATTATTATAGAGCTATTATAATGAACATATATTACTTAATATCAACCTAATGAGTTATTACATACTATCATAGTCATTATTTTGCAAATAAAAATTATATCGGGATAATTTTCTGATGGACTTTTTAATGTAATTTTAAAGTATTAAGTCATTCTAGGAGCAAACCCATATCCATACTAAACAATACACTATAATAATGTATTTATCGTAAATGAGGGGGAATAATTTAATTCATATCCTAAAAAATATTTCTTTCACAATCACAATTTTTAAATAGTGTAGTAGAGTAATGATAATTTAAGTAATTTTAAAATATATGAAGGAATTACTATTACAATTGCAACATGTTATTGTAATAACACGGGAATATTGCCACGAAGGCGGCAGATTCGTTTTAGGAAGGTAGATATAGCTTTAAGGTATGTTTGTTACACTGATTATGTCATGTAGACCCTGATAACCGTTTTATATTACATAACCAGTTTAGCTAGTGTTGCTAATTAGTTTAGTCCCCTATGCGACTATATTAGTAGATGTTCGACTAGTTTAATTTATATTTTTACATTTTATTTCTAATAGAATACCAAGATTAAAACACAAATTAATCAAATTTAAATTTTCACGAGAAATTAAATAATATATTCTTAATTTTTTTTTTCTCTTTTAGGATAATTTGCAATTGATATGAATATTAAATCTTAATATATATAGTTAGTAATCATTAAAGCTTACATTAAGGATTTTAGATCAAAATCAGTCACCACCCTCCCTTAAAGTAATTAAATTATTTTGTAGTTCTCGGGTAGTCTTTTGTTTTGTCCAACTCCTCTTGTTATTAGCCTATAGAGGTTTAAACGATAGTTCTCGGGCTGTTGTGCGTCGTGCGGCTCGCCCACAAACGTGTTAAGGGCACCACATCTTTCTACCCCTAAATTAAATATCCAGTTTGATGGATTTTGAGGATAACCTAGCGTAGCTCTGTTAAATCACAACCAGAGGGCAAAAATGTTTTTATCTCGCATCATGTAATTTTCCCATTTACAATAATTAAATTTGTTTATAATTATCATATTCCTGTTTTATTTATAATATACCTTACCTATAAATAAATCCGATGGATATATCCTATAGCATATCATATAAAATTAAGATTATATCTATATAGAGTTTAATTACGAATGAGAATAAAACAAATTAAACATCATTTCATTGAATTTTATCTTCAAATTATAGGCATAAATTATTTAAAAAATGGGATTGACGATTTCCCCTTATCTACATCCCCCCCCCCCATTTTGGCCTACAACTTTTATATATTTATTCAGTAAAATAATTTCATAAGTATGTTTTATTTATAAATATTGTAGTTGTAGAATATTTCGAATTCATTTTAAAATAAATTGTGGAGGTCTACTAATCAATTTTATAGACATGTCAACTTTAACTGACACTGTTTCAACAGCTTTTAATAATGATGGTGGAAGTTTATTTTACTCAGCATCCATAATATCAGAAAATGCAATTTAAAATTTACTTTTTAAAAACTTTATCGATAAATATTGATAATTGTTAAGCCTTTCTTTTTTATAGGAAAGTATAAAATGTTATATTAACATTTTTGTTTGTTAAAAAAACTCTCTACTTTATAAAATAAATACGCTGATAACGAAAATTACGTAACGATTGTTTTAAAGAAAGAAATTTTAAACAATCAATAATTATTAAAAACTATTTTGCTGAAAAAAACAATGTTCAAACTATTGATGCGTTGTTGCTGTGGTTACTTTATAAGAGAGGATGACGATGATGGCACAATCCAGGAGATGATTCCGGAGTCTAGTAGTCCCATGAGAGAGGAGTATGAAGGTAATCATTATTATTTAAAAAAATTTGTGCGATTAATTAAAAGCTTAAATTAAATATCAAGACGGAATTCGCATTAACTCGATTATATCCTCCAAAGTTATTCGTCTTATTAATTATAATTCAGATGTCTGGAATCTAGAACTGTTGGAACATCGCTAAGATCTAAGATTTGGATGCTGGAATATATGTGTATAAAGAACTGCTGCGCCTTTTTAAAGAAACAACAGAACAGAATTAAAAAAAATTTTTAATATTTATTTTAATTTACTATATAATCAAGTTAATGCCAATTCCGTCTTGATTTATATTTAATTTAAATTTTTAATTAATTAAACAAATTTTTTGAAATAATAATGATTACCCTCATACTCCTCCCTCATGGGACTACTAGACTCGGGCAACATCTCCTGGACTGTGCCATCATCGTCATCCTCTCCCATGAAACAACCAAAACAGCAACGAAGAAATAGTTTTAACATAGTTTTTTTCAGCAAAATAGATTTTTAATAATTAATAATTGTTTAAAATTTCTTTCTTTAAAACAATCGTTACGTAATTTTCGTTATCAGCGTATTTATTTTATAAAGTGAGAGTTTTTTAACAAACAAAAATGTTAACACAACATTTTATAAATTGCATCTTCTGATGTTATGGATGCTGAGTTAAATAAACTTCCTCCATAATTATTAAAAAAAGGGTATCCGAAAATATTGAAATAGGTGATGGTTAAATTGAGACAGGTCTATAACATTGATTAGTAGAAGACTGCCACAATTTTTTTTTGAATGAACTAGAAATATTTTTTTAAAAAAACCCTAATTATGAAATTATTTTATTGAATAAATATATAAAATTTGCAGGTCATGAAAGGGGGATATCATCACATTTTTTAAATA